ATGGGAAATGGGAAATGGGAAATGGGAAGCATAAAATGGGAAAATGTATAGGTAAATATTAGTGACTGCTGACTGCTGACTGCTGACTGCTGACTGCTGACTGCCACTTTGACTTTGATTTTTTTTAATGTCAGTAGGACTGTAAAGTTTTCAAGTGTTTAGGGGGTAGGAGTTCATAAGTTCTTACTTCTTCCTACCCCATTTTGAGCATGATATGTTAACTGAAACAAAAATCTGTATTTTTTCTTCTTTTTATGCACTTCTTGTTACTGTGCACTATTTTATTTTTATATTGTATCATGTTCGAATAAAATTTCATTTCATTTAAAAAAAACTACATTATGCCATCAAATTATTGCACACCAACAAATGTATTCAAGCAAAAGAAACCAGACAACTTATGTACCCTCAGTTTTAGCCCAGAAGAGTAGAAGTTACTTAATACAATATATTCATGTTTATGTGCTGTCCAGAAAAAGCACTTACATATTACTGGTTTGTAATGTTAGTATTTACTTTTTTGTACAATAATATTGATATATAATGCATATAGTTTATTTAGTAAATTCTAGTAGTTTAGAGATTTTGATATTTTTTGTAAAATTTAAAAGAATAATTAATTGAACATTACTACACCCAAAAATTTGTTTTTTCAGTGCACACCAACATGCTGGAATATATTTAGATATACAGTACATTATAATGGTTGTTATGACAGTAACTATATTCTTACTGAAGGCAATACTCATATTAATGAGGCTTTTTGTTCATTGGCTCCTGAAAAATCTCAGTTTGACGGCCCTTTGACCCCCTCATTTCCAACAAATAGACCCTTCCAGCTTTAATAGCTAAAACTAAAGGGTGAAATGGGGTTTAGTGTGATACAAGCAGAGAAAGATGTAAATCTGAAGGACGCTGTTTTTAAGACGCTAACATTAGTTGATCATAGAGGAGCAGCATCAAACAGGTCAGTACAGCAGGATGGCTGATGGTCTGTGTTGTTAGGCTAACCTGCACCGTTCTGTCGTGGCTCAGGTCAGGATTCCTCTTCAGTTTCTTCTCTAAGAAGCTGTTGGCCTCCGTCTGCTTGGCTCCCACCGCTGTGGCTCTGAAGCCGCAGTAGTAGCCTGCCGGGTCACATTTGTAGAGAACAGGACCGTGCTGCGGGTCAATAGCCACCATGATCATACCTGCAGTGTGGAGAACAGAAACAGGATTACAGTTTATTGAACGATACGTCATCACGATAACACCTGAATGATTCTAATACGAGCGGTCACTCACAGCAGCCTAGAGGTCTCATCTCTGCGTTCTGCGTGTACACCTGAGAGATATCAGCCAGCCTGCGGCACAAAGCGTCCGCCGTGATGTCATAACCAAACTTATATTTCCACTCTGCAGCTTCCACTCGGGCTCTGTGGACCTGTGACCGGCTGTCCGCTGCTCAAACCAGAAGGTAGGACCATTAAAGACATAAACATACTTTTAAAATGAATTATTAAACTGATTAATAATACCGTTGTGCCCGGTCATCACACAGCCGATGCGAGGGGTTAGCTTGAACATGTTGGTCACAGTGGAGGAGTCCAGCAGCTTGTCCTGCAGTCAGAAAAAAGGACAGATGATTATTAATGTCTCTGACTGAGACATTTTAAACAGATACAGTGCTACAGCTGAGAAACACGATTATTAGACAATCATGGATGAAGTGTGCTCCTCAGGCTGGATATGTGTTTTTAATTATTCACAAACACAGAGGACAAAATTTATTTTAATCTATTTTATTTCTTAAACCTTTGGTTTCAAATCTGGAGGCACACAGTAAATGTGTTTTCTAATTTCAAAAGGAAATAACAAAAAAAATATAAATGTATATAC